AACAGAGAGAAAGAAAGATAGCTCAAAAACTCCCTTTATTGTGTATGTGAGTAAAAATACGTAAAGACTTAAAGTTTATTATTGCCATTCCAGATTTTGTTGTTCAAGAGCAAGTTACAAAGCAATATCCTCATGGATTTCTGTAAAAGCTGGGAACAGAAAAGTCAGTTATAATTCAAGGCTTAACATGCTTGTCCAGCTGATTGCAAAATTCAGGAGGATTCTGAAAAATTTAATATGGTCAGATCTTTAATCTTTCAAAAAGGCAATGGCAACTTTAGGCAAAACCGTAAAGCCTCAGATGGACAATAAATAAATAAGTAAAAACTAAAGTTCTCCTTCAGGGGCTTTGCTGCGCGTCTTCGCAGAACCGGCTAAAACGCGCTGAGGATCTTAGCGGCTCTTGGCTCAGCGGGGCGGAGAGGAAGGAGCAGGTGGACAGCGGAAGGTGGGAAATTAGTATTGGAAGAATGAGAAGCAGCACTAGCGACTGCAAGCAGGAACCAAGCCAGTCACTCAGTTTCCGAAATGGGACAGAAACCCGGGCCCGGACCGAAGCTAAGTTAGTAAGGTATACGTACAAACGCACTCTGAGCCCTCGCGTGCATGGCCAGGCTCGCAGCCGTCACACTTGCGCCCGGTGGCTCCTGGACGGCACATGCAGAGGCCTGTGACCGGGTCACACGGCACAGGCAGCGAGCCGTAGGGGTGACACTCACATTCTTGGCAGGAGCCTCCGGGGCTGCTTGGACTGCCCGCGTAGCCAGGGGCACACCTGCGTTTAAACAGTGACAACGCAAAGGAGGTTAGCAGTAAGTCAGATCTCTCAGTGGGTGCGCGTGTGTGTGCATGTGTGCGTGTGTGCTCGCATGTTTTGTTTTAAGTGAAACAGAACTGCTACTAAGAATCAAGGGCTTATCGATTAGGGGGCCAGGAATCCTTTTCTATAAAAGACCAGGTAGGATATTTTATGATTTACTGGGCAAAAGGCAAAATCAAATATGCATTGTGAGAAAGAAAACACCAGATTTTGTTATCACTGTTGTTGATGGAAACAAAATATAATAATTAAATAGAGATTATTTTGTAGTAGCCGTTTACTAAAGCAAGAGAATTACTAACTGAATTCTTTTTGAGGTATCAAATTTTACTTAAATTTTCTGATTCAGTGTTTTGCAACATTGAAAGGATTGTAAATATTTACTTATAGCAGTGGTTCTGGGCTCAAGCATCATACATAACCAACCAAGGGGATCCCGGTACCGGAGAAAAACAAAAAAAAAAAAAATAAAAAAATAAAAAACCAACCAAGGGCAAATTTGGAAGAAGCACTGGGAGTGTTCTGCCTGTAGTTTGCCCACCACAGGTCCAGTTCATAAAGTTTTCTTGAAGTCTTTTTAAAATTAGAAATGAATAAAATTACCTTTGTCCTGGGATTTTCTATATTCACACATTTTAGAGAACAAAATAACCAAACAATACAACCCATTAATTTTACTAAATGAGGAAAAAAGGCACAATCGATGGTAATAAGCTACTCAGATTTTCTATTTAATTCTATTCATCTTTCTTTTCTTACCACATGCTCCTCAAGATGGATTTTTCATTATGTGTCTGGGAAAGTGGGTTAATATTATGCAAATAAAATCTATAACATCAACTTGAGAAGTTAGAAAGGAAAATTCAACTGGATGAAGTCTAAATGCAGTTCATTCATTGACTCTCCTACCTACCCAAATATATCTATTCATCTAAGTATATGTCACCATGGACCACGGTGCTGGACATTTGGGACATATAAGATGCTCGTGGGGCCTTGTGTTTCTGCTTTGTCCAAGAGAATCCCAGATTATTGGCTGTCTTGGCACTATTCTCAGAATAATTTCTGTCCTTCATCAGAGGATCTCCTATATATATATATACA